TCTGCTTTAGAAATGTTAAAGAAGTCAAACTTTTTATCATGCGGCCAGAACTGGATCCAGGCCACCTTTCATGAAGTTTCTATAGTGTAAACATAGTAAAGTGGAATGGTGATAAAAATCACAAATATTCTTTTCTCCTAATACACAGGGTAGTGGTTATGCTAAAAAATAAATACAGAAATAAAAAATGAGACAAAGATATTGAAACTAATCTCTTGGTTTAACCACAGGACTGCAAAGTCAAGGATGCCTAAGGCAAGGAAAATCAAGTTATTTTGCTGATAATGGCATCATAATTCAGCAGTATGCCCCAGTGTTAAAACTTTTCAAAAACAATGATGATTAGTTTTGGTACTGTGCTGCAAAGCCTGGTTACAACTCTAATCTCAATCCTGCATGTCCCTGTGGTGCTCTGTGGAGATGTGTTAAATTTGCAATTTTGCCTCCAGTTAGAGAAATCCTTGTGCATGCTAAAGGTCTGCAGACTGTCCCAGAAAGTTTGGTGGGCAACATGTAATGTTTTATTAAGCCTTACATTTTGTACATGTATTTCACTTTATCATGTCAAAACCAAGACCTTAGACTTCCACGTTGCAACTATTGATTGGGTAATAAAGATAATTATTTCTTATAACAACTTGGAGCCTGTTAAGTCACAGGGAGTCATCTCAGGGTATGCATCACCAGGCACTGCCCTTGTTCTACAACGCTGGCATAGTTTGGCCGCAGATGCACTGGCCAAAGCGAGCGCTGGTAGCTTGCCACAGACATAAGTGGTTGCACATCAAGACTGCTCACCTCTTCTCCTAGCTGCGAAGGGGAAGAATACTAAATCTATAGAAACTCCCGGGAGAGGTAAATGTTGCCAAAGTACTTCAGAAGAGAGCGCTCTTCTTTGGATTGAGTGTTCAGGTGAGGCCAAAGAACTCCCCAGGTCTGGGACTTGATCTAGAAAGTCTATTCAGCGTCACTCCTGGAGCCCTACGTGCCCTTTCCTCCCGAGGACTGGTCCAGTTGGATGGCGGGGATGCCACCTCCGTCTCCACCGGAGAGCGGGCGCGCCCAGGTGCGCCGGACCGCGCCCGGGCGGGCGGAGCCGCTGGAGCCAGGGGAGTCCTCAGCCGTGGGGCCCGCAGCCATGGGGCCCGCCCCATGGGGCCCGTCCGTCCTGCAGTGTGGGTCAGTGTCTGTCTGCGCGGCCGCGGGGGCCGGGGAGGGCGCGGGGGCAGCGCGGAGGGTCCGCGGGGCGGTGTCCGGAGGGTTCGCGGGGCAGCGCGGAGGGTCCGCGGGGCGGTGTCCGGAGGGTTCGTGGGGCGGTGTCCGGAGGGTTCGCGGGGCGGTGTCCGGGGGGTTCGCGGGGCGGTGTGCGGAGGGTTCGCGGGGCGGTGTCCGGAGCCCTGCACGCACAGGATTCTCCCCCGCCCGGACGTCTCCCGGTTGTTTTCCGAGGAGTGGCGCGCGGCCGGCGCCGGGGAGGCTCCTGCGCTTTTCCCGCGGCTACCTCGGGTTAAACATCTTTGTTTTGTGCTTTTTGGTGAGCCTCCACTCCAGGTGTGCCAGGGAAGAACTCCTTGCTGCTTCTCGGTACACTCACTTGCAGCCCCAGGAGCCGCGCCTTGGCAAAGGTGGGCATGGCATTTCCTGGGAGACCGAGAAAGGCGTTTCATGTTTCTGCCAGGGGTGAGCTGAGTCGTGGGCTCAATAGAAATGGTTAAATTATTGTCCGATCAAAGCAATTAGTTTTCGAGATGATTTAGGACCAGTAACTTCAGTGGCAGATTAAGAACCAAGTTGGCTGTCACTAACCAGATCAGCCCTGGACTGCTGAATGACAGCACATGTCACAAGCAGTGTGTAGCACCGGGGTGGCTGATCTACCCAATCCACATAGAGAATATTTAGATGTTTGAGGGAAAACAAAAAACAAACAAGAATAATTTAGCTGAATCATAAAAAAAGTTTATAAGTTACATCAGCATCTACCTTAGCTCAGACAGGTTTCCTGTTGCTGCCAGCCTTGAGTCAGAGCTGGGAGAGATTATTTCTGCAAGGAGTGGTTCTGCTGACAGGTTCATGTTTGTTGACATTTGGAAGTAGGAGGTGAAACTCGCTTAGCTACAGAAACTCTGTGCTGAGCAAGCCGGGCAGCCTCAGTGGTTTGTCACCTTCCTTAGCTTTTCCAAGTGATCCTCGGGGATTACAGGTGTAATAAAATAACAGTAATTCCTGGATCAGCCTCCTCTTCCCATCTCTCCGGTGGTTCTTTGATCAGTGCAGTGACATGCCACATGACTTTTTGTTTTAAACTATGAAAAGCTGCTCGGTGCAATAAACAGAGATCATAAGTATTCAAAATTACTTTTGTTAATGACAAATCCAATGTTTCTTTGTGAATGTGGGCAAAGATTGTAATTCAGAAAGGAGAGAAACAACCTGTGGAAGTCACTGGGTGACTTAGTACAAATGGCATGATTAAATTTTCCTTATTTGATGTCATAATGTATGCTGAGGAATAAATTAGAGTACATAGAAAAAATAGCAGTAGTGTAATGTGAAATGAAATAAGCCTGCCATTCATCTCCAGCTAAATAAAAGTACACCAGTCACAAAAAAGGGGAAGAAAATTGATATTTTCTTCACTGTAGAAATCCAATGCACTGATAGAAAGCTGCCTTTACTGTTTCAGATAGCTGAAAGACTATACTTATCAGGAGTGTTTATTTTAATGTCTTCTTTTAATTAAAGGCAAGGAATGTTTCTGCTTCTCACCTGCCATCCTGGTTTAGCATTAGTACAGGTGTTGGGAGCTAAAGGATTTCATTTATTCTCCATGGGGTTTTTTTCACAGAATCATAGAGTAGTTTGGATTGGAAGGGACCTTTGAAGGCTATCTAGACCAATCCCCCTGCCATGAGCAGGGGCATTTTTGTCTTGGCCTGGTATGTGTTTACTAAGAGAAAATATATTTATGCTTAAAGGACTTTTCTGTAATTTTGTTTTGTGATTTGTTCTTCACTAATTACGTCAAAACAAGTATGTGCAAATTTTTCTTCTTCCAAGACTATGCTAATAGTTTAGGATTTCAAAATACTTCCAGGTGCAAATGCTAATTACATATTTTTACATTATCCAACTGTAATTTCTAGTTATGATAAGTAAGAGTGTAGAATAGTACCTATCCTACATACTATGCAATAGTAGCTGCATGTTGATCTAAATTCCCTAAGATTTTAATCTTCAGCTGGGGAATGTGAACATACCCATCTTGTGGGAATATTTTTATTAAGTCTAACTTAGTAATACAAAATAACTCCTGTTACATGGAAACACTCTTGGCAAACAAGGAAATGTGTTTGCACAGCCTGTAAATCAAATTATAGCTTCCTGTACTAAGTTTGTTGTATGGTATGGAATGAGAAAACAAGGAGCAGGTACTCACTATTTCCTTACTTGTGAAATGTGCTATCTCCCAGAGTTAATACCAGCATTGCCAACTGCAAATATGATATTTTTAAGACCTTATGTATTTTAACTATTCCTTGTTCAGCTGCATTAAATGAATTGTCTGCTTCTTGTTAATTGTTCAGTGAAGTTTGATATAGCATTATTTCTAGAGCTTTCCTACCAAGTCCCTAAGTGGTATTTTTTCAGTTGGGGGGGGGGGGGGGGGAAGAAAAAAAAAAAGAAAAAAAGGAAGTGTATTACTGATGCTGGCACCCATCAGGATGAATCGTTCATGTGTTATTTTAATTACGGGAAAAACATGGAAAACAAAGCTAATTGTTGCATCCCTTGCTTCATATATATCACAGTGGATGGAACTTTTGTACTTCTGCAAACTGTTTCGTATTTTAACATGTCTTCACAATAAGCCTTCTTTTCTTAGGTTGTTCTTAAAGGTATTCCAGTCTAGATTCTGTAATCCACACTGGTTGCCTGATACATTCTACTGTGACAAACTGAGACATCAGCCTAGACTGCCTAAGTTCTGTTGCAGCTTTGCTGCTTGACCCCTGCTTCCCCATGCAAAAAAGCACCTCCTTTTGTTCTTGGAAATGCAATACCTCTTTTTCCTTTAAAAACAAATCTAGGCTGATAACACTGATTTCATTCCCACAGACTGTCATCACAGTGATACAGATAATGCTTGTCTGGCTGAGTGTGTGAAGCTCCAGTCTCTGCTCAGGATCACCCAGCTCTCCAGCAGTGTTGCAGGGATAGCTGGGGGAGCTGTGGCCTGTGATCTGCCTCCATCCACGGATTATTGAGGTTAAATTAAATTTGCTGTGGGGTGTAATGAAGCCTGAAAATTTTGTGATTGGTTAAATAAGACTTGGCTCGTATAGTATTCACTGAACAATTTTAATAAAATGTCTTGGTGCCCATATGCAGTGAGAGTTTGTTCCTTGTTTGATTTTCCTTCTTTTTTTTCCCATTTATTTTTTCAATCTCAGCTACCGATGTAAAAACAGAAGCCTCGAATAGCAGCAGGCTAATTTAACAGGCAAAGTCCAAAATCATGGATTTGGCTATGTGTTTGTGGTCTCTGCACAACAAAAATGAGCCCTTCCATCTTGAGGTTTCAGGTTAGCTTTTAAGATTTTGAGTTGAATTTTAAATTTAAACTAATATTTTTTTGCTGCATTCCTTTGTATTTCCCTTATTGCTTGTCTGAACTAATGAAGTGCAAAATATGTATGTAAAATAATGTAATGTCCTGTGAACTGCAGGTGGGTATGACCCAGGGAAGCATTGTGTACATTGTGTGGGTTTTGTGTGTTATTTGCACTGTCAGAAATTACAGGTGCTCTGCAAAGACATGAAAAGGAGTGAGCAGAGTGGAGAGAGCTCTTCCAGAGCTGGGCCTGTCTCATGAATCATTTGTCCTTTTTCTGCTCTCAGGTGCTGTGCTGTCCTTTTCTTGCTGTGACTCCTGCTAAGCATGGTGCCAGATCATCAGCATGTCTGAATCACGCTCTCCTTTCCCTGCCTCTGTGGAGGGGACTGGCAATGAAACAAACTGGAGCAGTTCAATGCCTTCTGCAAGCAAGTACCACCTCTCCATTGGCTTGGCTTTGGCTATAGGTTCCAGTATCTTTATTGGTTCTAGTTTCATTCTGAAGAAGAAAGGACTTTTGAAACTGGCAGACAGAGGAGTCACCCGAGCTGGTAAGGGCTGGTGCCAGCGTTTCTCCTGCGGGGGACAAAAATATCATTTTTAACTTGGCAAAATCAAGGTTCAAGTCACAGATCACATGTTTAAAACTACTTCAAGGGTGATCAGAAGTCTTATCTTGGTGAGGGATGGAGATATGGTATTATTTCTCTGGTGTGATTACAGGGACTGGGATTTCAGAATTCATAGGACCATGGGAGGTGGTGCTATTTCCTCACTGAGAGCAATTACCAAATAAAATTCTCCATTTGTCTTACCCTTCAAAACGCCTTTCTCCCTCTTTTTTCGATCTTTTCCCCTCTCATTTGAGGTGGGAAGTCTTAACCTGGTAACTAGGTTTAGCTTTTTGGTTTAGCTTTTCTTTTTTAAAGTTAGTTCAATGAGTTGTAGAAGCTACATTTATTACACAAGTTTCTCCAGTTATTACAACTATTCCTTCATCAATGTCAACAGATGAGGAGCTAGAAAAAGAACAGTTGCACTAATTTCATAATTCCCTTTGCATGGATTTAAACACATAGCATTCGCAGTTTTTATTTTGCTTGTTGTGTTTCTTGCAATATATTATTCCAGAGAGTTTGGTTATTTGAAAAAACTCTGATACTGAATATTCCATATACTTATGTTTTATGTTAAAAAAAATTCAGGGGCATTTTTCTTTCTAATTTCTTCCATCCTAAAGTAAAAGGAGAGTCACTCTGTAATTGATTGTATGAATATATTGGATCTGACCTGGAAAAGCATTTTGAAGCATTTCTTAAGCTCACCAGCAATCTTTATAAACATTTTACTTTTGCTTGAAGCTTCCCCTCTATGTATATAGCAAGTAGCAGTTTTTAGAAGTCCAGGTCAGAAAGCTGTAGAGTGGTTAATAAAATGTCAGTCAAAACCAAATATTCTTGTTGCATCCAGGTAACGTGCTCTTTTGGTACTTTGTAGGTGCAAATGTGGAGCTGTACTTTTTGTTTCTTACAATAAGGTGAGCTGTTTCTTCTAAAATGAGGTTATTTTTTCTCTTTCAGGACAAGGTGGATATTCTTATTTGAAGGAATGGCTTTGGTGGGCTGGACTGCTATCAAGTAAGTCACCTTTTTCCTCACAGCCTATATGTAAATATTCAAAAAGCAGATTGTTTTAAAGAGATTTATTGCCTGATTTTTCATTCCCTTCACTTAAAAGAAATGTCCTTGCAATCACAATCATGACAAGCTGTTTTGATACACCATCTTTCAAATGCTCCATTTGGTCTTCAGAGTTCTTTGCAGAACAACCATATTTTCTTTTATATGTGGTCAAATTCAGTGGAATTGCATCTGTCCAGCTTCTAGGAGTACTTAGGAGAAAAGTATTTAGCTTTTTTCCGGCATTTATTGTTTCCAGAAGAGGTTGTACAGCTAATTTTGAATGAAAATATGTATATATAGTGCAGAAAAAAGATTTTGGTTTGTATTTGCTCTCACAGCTGTCACTTAAAATAATTACAATAGTGTGTCTTTTACTATCCTCCTCCAAGCTGATCCAAATATTCTTTCTTCTGCAGTGGGATTAGGAGAAGCTGCAAACTTTGCTGCCTATGCCTTTGCACCTGCAACCCTCGTTACCCCCTTGGGTGCACTGAGTGTTCTCATAAGGTTGGTAGCAATTGGGAGCAAGCCTTGGCAAATGAACCACTCACTGCATGAGGGAAAAAATAGTGTCTTTGGCTGAAAGTGGAGATTTTTAATAAGAAAACTGAAAAGCAATTTATGGACAAAAAATGCTTTTTGTTGCTTGGTGGAAAGATATTTTTCCTCATTTAGAACTGAGTTCTTTGGGTAGATAGAATCAGACGTCCTGTTGCAAAGGCCACTCAATGCCTTCCCAGTAGCTTTCCACCTAGATGACAAAGTAATTCTTATCAGCATATAGCAGGTATACTGCTGAGAGAAGGTATTTATCTCTTCCTAGAAAATTGGAACTTTTTAAAATACTGTTATCCTGTTCTTCAGTTGTGAAAAAAAACTTCAAATAAAAATACATTATTCCTTCACAAAATGTTTTCAAAAGCATTTATATTTATAGAAGCATAATTTCATATTAAGGCACAGTTAGTAAACCTTTTGGTTTGGTTTTGTCTTTTTGAAATCCTTCTGGAAAGAAGGCAAAGTAAATTTTAGCTTTCTTCTGTATCCATAATTAAAATTTGTGGGTTTTTGGAAACATAAATGTCCTAATGACTTATTGTTTCCTATGTATGGAGAAAACAATAATTTCCAAGTTCTTAAGCACATACAGTAATGTGGCTCTCATAGCAGCAAAAAAGACATGGACTAAGCATATTTTTAGCAAAATTAAATTATTGTATTTTAAATGTGAAACTCTGGTTTTTAAGAACTGAGTATACTATATCAAACATTGTGTTTAAAACAACATGTACCACATATTCAAAGCAAACACAAAAACCCCAAACAAAAAACCCTCTCAGATGCTTGCAATAATCGATCTGCTAAAACTGCAGCCATTCTGTCATAGCAAAATTAATATAACTGAGTCCCTGCAGTGGTGCTGGGGTCAGCATGTTGGTAAATGCAGATTAATTGGCTGCCTGCAAATTTAACATTAATTTGCTACTGTGCAAAACACCTTGAGTTTTATTGCCCTCTTCTTTGATGGGGAGAGCAATTGTTCAAATTTTCATGAGACAGAGAGGTTGTTAGAACTTCATGTCAGTGAACTCATTACCGTTGTGTGAAAAAATGTCTGTATTTTGATCAGTGGGTTGAATAACTATTTGTTATAGAGTGTGTTCACACACCATTAAGCCTGTGTCTGTGCCCAAGGTTGTGCTCTAACAGGCTAATTATGCCCTGTGAGTAATGTCATTTGGGCCATGTTACTGTCCATAGGTTAAATAATCAGCCTCGTGGAGATCCTGGGGCTGATCTCTTCAAAGGGGGAGACGTGCCTTCTCTGTGTTTTGGGGCAGTCCTGACAAGCCAGGCAGAAAGTGTGCCTGGGTGGGAGAGCCTGGGGAGGGATGAGGAACAATTTCTAAAACTCATGTGCATTGGTTGTAATGGCAAATGAAGTGCTTTGAACCATTTTTGGAAGCAAGAAACGGCTCATGTGGTTAGTCTACAGTGAGCCTGCATACCCTGACATGGGAAATCAGGAATGAGAAATTCCTTGGCAATTTGGGCCTTTTTACAACCTGGAGGAAAGCAGTGAGGGTTGCTAAACTCCCTAAAACCTGACCTTACCTTCTTGGTCATGACCAACTTTCTTGGAAAAACTTACAGTTTGATTATTTCGGGCTGGTTTACCATATATCCAAATTCAAAAGAGGTTTTAAATTACTGTCAGGCTACACAGGGAGATTTTGAATGTGTTTTGTGGCTCGTGGAGCTGAACATTTTATTTCTATTTTACTGAACAGTGCTATATTGTCATCCTATTTTTTAAATGAGAAGCTGAATATTCATGGAAAGCTGGGCTGTGTACTGAGCATTTTGGGGTCAACAGTCATGGTTATTCATGCCCCAGAGGAGGAGGAGGTCACCTCACTAGATGAGATGGAAAGAAAGCTGCAAGATCCAGGTCTGTATGCAATTGCAGTGAACACATGCTACAGTTCAGAGGGCAGTGTCCAGGACACTGAACAATTCTGAGCATGTTCATCGACATAGTCTGGTATTTTATCTCATGTGCATTACTCTTTCCTTTCCTATTTTTTTCTACAGTGTTTGTTACATTTGCTGTTCTCCTAACAGTCATTGCCCTTGTCCTGATTGTTTTTGTGGCTCCAAAGAGAGGTCAGACAAATATCTTGATCTACATTTTAATTTGCTCACTCATTGGTGCCTTCTCCGTCTCGTCTGTGAAAGGCCTGGGCATTGCCATTAAACAAATGCTGGAGAGGAAGCCAGTCTATCGCCATCCCTTGGTTTACATTTTGGTGGGCATCTTGGTGCTCTCAGTCAGCACTCAGATCAACTATCTCAACAAAGCACTGGACGTGTTCAACACATCCCTTGTGACACCCATTTATTACGTGTGCTTCACTACAACAGTGGTGGCCTGCTCCATCATCCTGTTCAAGGAGTGGAGTAGTATGGGACTGGGTGATATCATTGGAACCCTGAGTGGGTTCTGCAGCATCATCATTGGCATTTTCCTACTGCATGCTTTCAAGAACACCAACATCACCTGGAGCCAGTTGATGTCCACTGTTGCTAAAGAACCGTCACTGCCACACCGTGAAATTGAAACCAGTGACACTTTGCTGGAGAGCATGGAAGACCCAGCTTTGGTGTATGAGGAAGACAACATTTTATTCAGTCAATGAAACACTCAAGCAGTGGTCATCATCAAAGTATCATGAATTGCAAACACAGCCCACCCATGTCTACTAGAATGATCTACTTTTCTGCAGTCCTCTGGAAATTTGTCTATGAAGCCTGTTAAGTGTGGGCCACTCCTCTCTGTGTCAGCTTGTTGGCAATAATGAATGAAAATGTTCAGTAATTAGCATGACAGACAGAAACCTGGTGGTGATTATATGTTTGGCAATGAAAAAAACCACGGTCCGTTTTTTATGCAGTATCTCTTCTTAGGAAATTTTGGCAAAAAAGAATGGTCTTTGTAAGCCACGTTTTAAAAAATGCATTTTTCTTTTAATGATAAGAGATAATCCTTGCTGAAGTGGCAGACACTCTGCTATTATCTTGGTGATGGCCTTATTATTTCTGGCTTTCTTTATATTTTTATAATTTATTGCCAAGCAAGCTTGTAGATACTCTACATGAAGGATGTTCATTGAAGACATAATATGAAGAAAACAGTGTTCAACCCTCCTAGTTTTTAATATAAAATTTTATGCAAGATTTTTTCACTTTTGATGACCTGCCATTGAACACTGATTAGATGTCACAAAAAAAAAAAAAATTAGCAGATACAATTCTTGCTAAATCTCAGCTTTTCTATCCAAGGAATTCTGAATGGATTGTGAATCTCTGAATGTGCCTGTACTTTTTTATTTCAAAACAAACACCAAATTTTTAAAAAACAAAATTCATTAGAGGCTTGAAAACAGTTTCTACTGGCTTAAAAAGTTACATGAGATTATAGAGTGAAGTATTCAAAGGCGGGAGAAAACTAGAACATGCAATTAAAATTTTCCACTTTGTTTTATTTATTATATGTATATATATTATATATATAAATATTATTTTGAGAATTAAGAAGGGGCTTTACTTATTTCCATACTTCTAGTATATACTTCCTAGTATGGCTATCTATTAATTAGAACCAACCCATTTAAGCTTTTCAAATTTTTTTCCTCATTTTCTGGGAAGGTATTGTTCTTTATTAATAATAAAGCAGTCCTGTTAATTTTTATACTTTTATAAGTGCAAATCCATTTTACAATCCATGCACTACTTCTAAAATTGCTAGGTAAAGGATGGGCTGTAGGCAAGGGGTGACAAACATCAGAAGGTCTTTTTTTCTAGTTTGGACTTTTCATCTTTTCTAAAAATGAGTATTTGCCTCTATTAGATGTTTAGCAATGTGTTAACCTACAAGAGGTCTTGAAGATTGGTAACTGTACTGTAGTACTGTGGTTCCTCAGTTGTGGTCACTTATCTTCCTGTCACAAAAAAGCTTGCACAGCCCATGGTTTACTCATTACAGTCCTCTTTGCTTTCCACTTCGTAAGTAACTGAGTAACTTCAGCAATCAGACATGTAGGTGGTGACAAGCTCATCAGAAACAGTATTTCCAATAATTGGATTTTCACGTGTGAGTCCCGAAAGTTTGCACTATGCCAGCAGTTCAGCAGTTAAAAACTGGTTTTGATCAGCTATGATTTATATGCCAAGCAGAACTTCCTCATGAAGCAGGCTGTAAGTTTTCTAATATTCAAAAGGTTTAGTGGAATATGACAGCTTGGATGGATAGAAAATTGTTCTGCCAAAGAAAGCTCATCCTTTATCTGTAAGAACAAAAGGGTTGCTGTTTGTATTTCATGTATTTGTGTGGCATCACTGTTAACCAGCAAAAGGGACATTTTCACAAAAAATGTACTTGCCTTCAAAATATAATGACATTGTATACATTATTAGTTTGGAATATTTTTCAGGTTAATTGAGTGATGAGATTCGCAGCAATTCTTTGCTGCTAAAATGCTTGTGTTAAAAAAGTTTCGGACAAGAAATCTGCTGACAGGGTTTCATTACTTCTTAGGTAATGTAAAGAATACTTTGGTTTACTTGACCAGATTCAAGGTTCAAAATCTTTATAGTTAAAAGCAAGTAATACAAATAATAAAAGCACTAAGGATGGAGGGGGTTTTATAGTTTGTTTTTTAACAAAAACTTGAATTGCTTTTCACTCTGAATTACACAATCCATAGAATAACCAAAGAAAATATTGACTGTAAAAAAGAGAAAAAAGAAATGCTTTTGCATAATACATAGCCCCTTTATTTGCTCATAGAATCATCACTATGGTGTGCCCAAATGAATTATTTGTAAGAAAAAGCAACCAGCCCAGTTCTTGAATGGATGTGTATTGGCATTTTTAAAGATATGTCATAATACTTTCTTTGAGAAGGGTGTGGACCCCTTATATACTAACTGCTGTCAATAATTAACTTACACCAAGCAAAATTCCTGTATTTTCTACTGGACCTGCGTATCTGCTATTATACATAAATAGCAACTAAAAATAAAAGAATGTTATTTTCTAACAATGTCAAAAAAACAAAGTTAATGGTTGTTTTCATAGTGTACAAGAGGTCCATCATGTTAGAAATAAATTAGTGATTAATTTTTTATATAAAAACATTTGTTGTAAGAGATGCTATTTTTTTAAATGTTTATATTTAGTTACTAGTTTGGAATCATTTTGATTTTTTTTTTTAATTATGCTAATATTTCTCTTGTAATAAATTATTTATGGTTATGTACTAAATTTTCTGTGTTTTTTAAACAAGGGATAAAAAAGAGTGTAATTCATATTTCTAAACTAGAGAAGAAAATCCAAAGCTGATGTATTAGGCATGTCTGTGTCACAGCCAATCTCAATGGAGAGTGTTTAAGTGAGCTGTCAGGTTTTCCAGGCAGTGAAATGAAGGACATTATATAAAGTAATTACATGTGTTTTGGTATGTAGGGCAAATGGTTAAGAAGAACAAAGCAATCCTCAGAGGCAATACACTGCTAACCAAATTACAGCTCTTAAATGCTGATACTAAACAAATCTTGGCAGCTACTCATTATTACCATACCTCAGGACAAATTAATGGGTAATTAAGTTCATTACATAGCTGCACCAGCTAAATGTAGATAGATCAAGAAGACTTGGATAGGTTAAAACATCTGTACGATTTTGGAAGGAAATACATCAGTTATTAGTTTCTATAGAAATCTGTTCTACCATCTTCATTTTCCAGACACACTTGAAAGAACCATGCTGTAAAAAAATATCTTCATGCCAAAGCGTACAAATTCAAAATTTTAAACTCTATTTATCAGGGTTGCACCCTGGAGCCATATGGGGAATTGCATACTTCTAGTAAATGCCATTCTCTCACTCTTTAAATTCCAGCAAAATAAAACTGGCAAGTGTGCTGGAAAATATCCTTCCAGCAGGCCAGGTTTGCAGTAGCTGACTCCTTTTGGGCAGGTTTTTTAATGGTGCCATGTTTCAGAACATGGCAGAGGCTGAGCAGGAGTCAGACTGGTGGTGCATGGGGGAGGAGGGATGGTGATGTGCTTTGGTGTGCCTGTAGGGCCTCCCATCTGTGAAATCTGGGGAGGGGAGAGAGGGGGAGGAGGCAGGAATTGGTCTGAAAACCAAATGGCACAGGAAACAGCCCTGTACACACTAGTAATTGGTCTGCATTGCTTCTCAGGAGTACTTTTGACAAGTGAATTCATTTCACTTTCCAAAAATAAATTCCATTTTGCCAACAATGCATCTTTTTTATAGAAAAGAGATGTATCCTAAGTGGCTGGCTCACAAAAGCTTGGAGTTCCTTTTTTCTTCCCATCCATAATACAGACTTGTTCCAAGTTTTCTAATGTTTGATCAGGAAACAGTAGCTAAGATTTTACAGATGCTGAACACTCCTACAGCCTTTGATGGAAGGTTCCCTTTATGGAGATGTCTCCTTTACTGCTTTTTCCAGATCTCATGTTTATCACATGGGGGTTTAAAAAAACAGCAAACAGAAATCTCTTTGTGGTCAGTGACAAGGATGTCACTCATTCATCCATTTTTGTCTGTTAGAATATGGTTGGAATTTGAAATAAGCTCATCATCACCATGGCCTACTCAGTCTTTATTTAAGGGTGTAGCTGTTCTGGTAAATAAATACACTATAGACCTTTGTACTGCAGACCATTTCTTCCTGCCAATTAAGCACCAGTTTCACTGACTCTGAAGCAAATTCTAGTGCTTTTTAATTTATTTACTATCAGCTTGATGATAGCAGCTGTTAAATGTATCTGTGTCAGAATGTTTATAACAGCTTCTTGAAATTTTCCCCAAGCCCCCTACAGAAAGATTATATTGGGAAGTGGAAGCCTGGTAGGCAAGGATTATTGGCTTCAGGTATTAGACCAGCATGTTTCCAGGATGGGTGCACATTCACCATGGGACAGCTCAGTGAGGCAGGCAGGAGCAAGGTGCTTTGAGTACATAAAGCTAATGGAGCTGATTTTTACTGCTTGGTGCTATAATGTATTACATATTAACTTGCAGTAATATGGCAAAATCAGTTCTACAAGGGCTGTTAAAAAAGATGCCTCATATATTATTCAAAGTCCCCATGTACTTTATATTGTGGAGAGAGTTTGCATTTTTCACATTTGTAGTGCATCATCTGCTGAAAAGCTTTGTACTTCTGTGGCCTGGGCATAGACTGTGGTGAGCTCCATGTGAGTATTGTGTCATTGTCTCGATTTTGGCTGAGAGGGAGCAGAACCAGAACAGCTGTCCTGAACTGGCCAGGGGGATATTTCATAGCATAGAATGTCAAGATCAGTGCATAACCTGCGGGGGAGGAGGAGGGGAGTTGGCTGGGGACTGCTGGTTATTGCCTGTGGGTGGGCTGGGCATCAGTCAGCAGGTGATGAGCACTGGTGCTGTGCATCACTTGTTTCTCTTGGGTTTCATCCCTCTCTCTTTTTAGTCACTATTGCTTTGTTACATTTTGTTTCAGTTATTAACCTGTTCTTATCTCAACCCTCAAGTTTTTCCTCCAGATTCTCAACCCAACCAGGGCAGAGGCAGTGAATAAGAAGCTGCATGGTACTGTTGCCAGCTGGGGATAAACCACAACGATTATAGATCTGCATTCAGCCATAAGTCTGATAAAGGATTGAATACTCATAAATAAATTTATTATGAAAGTAAACAGTGGCATCAGTTGGTGGCAATTATTCTGGCAAATTACATGAAATAATGAGAATATCATGCTTTACTTGATGCAGAAATGCCTTAGAAGTGTGTTTGAAAGTACTCTCAAATGTTCAAACAATGGACTAAGAATTTCCTTTCCCAAGGG